AAACACTGTGGAAATAAGTATTGAGAACTGTTAAAAAAAAAAACTAAAAATAAATCGGCCATATGGTCTGCCCATACCCCTCCTAGGGGTCTACTATAATTGGAGAGGGAGTAACGAGTGTAATACAGAGGAAAAGAGAGGAGTGCTAAATAAAACATAGATGGTATGAAATACCAGAGGGAAATGTATTAGTTGAAAGTCCTACTGCGCTCTATATATATATATATATATATATACTTTATGAAACCATGTTCTATGTATAAGGGCACATATGGTCTGTGGCTGAGCCAGGTATTATTGTTTATTAGGCTTCACAGCTAGGTAGGACAATTGATTGATCTTCTGTCTTGGAAGCTTGTACAGTGTCTTCTGATACCAAGACAGCTTGTTTTCAGGGAAGAGGCTTCCAGCTCAATTCCAGCTCAATGACTCCAAGTCCTGTGTCCAAAGTATTACCCTGCTTTAGCAATAGGGTCTTACTTTCAAATTCTGGGAGGCAATCAAGGGCTGTGGCATTAGCCTATATTATTTTGGACTACCTTGATCAACAACTCAAAAAGAGAGTTTTTCCTGCCTGGCAATATCTTAGAACACACAGATCAACCAATAGATAATTAACAGAGTTTCTTCTTAAATGTCAGAGACTGTGTCATTCTGAATACTCTTCTTTATTTTAAAAATTGTCATTTGGCAAATACTTTGAAGAAAATATATCTCACAAATTCATGCTACTTTTAAAAGATTTTATGTTTTATAAATAGCATGCTTCATATCGCTCAAATCTGTAGGCTAATTGAAAACTCAAATCCATTCTACATCTATGGATTACATAGTTTCATGTGATTTTATTATCTATATTCTATTTTTTTCTTTTTTAATTGAATATTTGTGATTTTCATACAGTATCATTTGGTGGTATTCAGATCCCCTCCCCATCCCTCTTTCCCCTTATTTTCCCAGACTAATTTAATGTACTCTATTATGTATATAATAAGGCCTATAGAGTTTAATTTGTGTCCCCAAATGTCCTTCAGAATGGGTCCATTCACTGGGCCCTGGTTATTCTACCAAGGTCCCCATGCTTGAAAGAGACTGTCTCTGCCCCTCCCAGCAGCCATCTGTTGCCACAATTTCCTTAAGTGGGGTTGAAGTTCTAACCTACTTCTTCATGTCCATTCTGGGATTTCTTTTTTCCTGGTTTGAGCTTGCATGGGACTTGTGCATACCCTCATCCTTGCTGTGAGTATATATGAGTAACTGACAACAAAAACTGTTTTCTTGTGGTCAGCCACCACCTCTGGCTCTGACTGTTACATATTTAAAACAAGACTCACAATACATTTATTGGTCACTGAGCAAATAGCCTGTGATGAATGTTGGGCTTAGTATACACAAATTAAAAGCTAATGAATGCACTTGGCAGTGAGAAAATACCTCCATAGTAAACTGTATTTTCCTCTTTATGAGCCAGACTTGTGAATAATTTAAACACTGCTGCTTAACTTGTTACTTAGTCTTTCTTAATATTTGTAGATATCTTGGAGATTATTATGGAAATACAAAGTATGTACTTTCACTTTTGTATAAATTAGAAAAAAATAGTGAAACAAGGATTATTTATTAATTGCCAATAATTTAACAATAATGCTGTATACTTTTGAATATTTCACAGGTATAAAAAAATAATAAAATAACAATTATAGACACATTTATATGTCTTTTTTGTCTTTTTTGATACAGTTTCTCCCTGTAGGTCCAGATGGCCTGGAACTCACTATGTTGACCACGTTGGCCTTGAACTCACAGAGATTCTCCTACCTCTGCCTCCCGAGTGCAGTGATTAAAGGCATTCACCACCATGCCTGGCCTACATTTATGTCTTGACCATCCAACTTGAGATTGAAATCCAAACAGCATGACTAAGCACTCTGCTATATAATATTGAGTACCTTAATTTGAGCTATTTCTTATTATGTATCCAAAATGGAATTTTATTATAGTTTTATTTTCACACTATACCCTAAGAAGACAGCTCCTTGAAGAAACCTTCCAGGACTCCAGGACCATATGAATAATTCATTTTTAAAGGCAAACATAAAGAGAATTAACATGAAACTCTACTTGTTAAAAGATTTATTGTTATTATTTTTAATTGTGTGTGTCTGTGTCTGTCTCCTTCTGTGTGTAGATATGTGGGTGGGTTTGTGTATATATGAGTACAGATGTGCATGTAGGTCAGAAGAGGACATCAGATCCTCTGGAGCTGGATTTATAGGCCATTGTGAACTGGCTGATGTGGGGGCTGCAAATCAAATTCTGGTCCTCTATAAGCAGTCTCTTCACTGCTGAGCCAACTCTCCAGGTCTTAAATTCTGTTTTTCTTTCTTTCTTTCTTTCTTTCTTTCTTTCTTTCTTTCTTTCTTTCTTTCTTTCTTTCTCCTTTCTTTCTTTCTTTCTTTCTCCTTTCTTTCTTTCTTTCTTTCTCCTTTCTTTCTTTCTTTCTTTCTCCTTTCTTTCTTTCTTTCTTTCTCCTTTCTTTCTTTCTTTCTTTCTCCTTTCTTTCTTTCTTTCTTTCTCCTTTCTTTCTTCTTTCTTTCTTTCTTTCTTTCTTTCTTTCTTTCTTTCTTTCTTTTTACTATAGTTGGTTCCTAAACCCTAGTACAGGGTTACATGATGACATAAGGTTGATGGCCTGTCCTCAAGTCCTGAAAGACCCTTACATTATAGTTAAATCAAATGAGCCTCCATCCCACCCCAAGGTATGGATCAATGAGAGCCTCAAATTGTTTCTTTGAGAAAACACAAAAGAGAAAAGAAAATAAAAGCAATTCCTGACATCAAGAAGCTGTTCTAACTGACACAGGCACACCGTGTTAGTCTCCTGTTGGACATGACATAACACATTTTGTAGAATAACAACCTCACATAAAATTATTCTGGGATTATAATGAAATGAGTCAAAGCCAAGACACTTAGTTTTGTGTAAGCATATGCAAAAGGCCAGATTACTATACCATACCTCCTTAATATCAAACATCTCCCCACCCCAAAAAGCTAAAATGATTGGCTTCAGTTTCTTTTCTTATTTTTTATTATTTATTTATTTATTTATTTTGTGTGTTTGTGGTGTGTGTGTGTGTGTGTGTGTGTGTGTGTGTGGTGCATATGTATACCTTGGAGGTCAGAGGACAACCTGTGGGAGTCAGTTCTCTCCCTTCCCATGTGGGTTCTGGGGATCAAGCTCAGGTCATTGGTCTTGGTGGCAAATGTTTGTCCCTGCTGAGCCACCTTGTCAGCCTGGCTTCAACTTTTTTTTTTACCAATTATAGCTTGATCTTTTTTTTTCTAGTCTTCCCCCATATACCATAAGTAAAATTTATTGCACTACTACTAATAAAATAGCCCCAATTCTCTGCCAATAGTCAAATGAGAGTAAACCCCTACTTGTTCCAATATTCCACCAACCCACAGAAACAACAATGGAATCTGCAATAAGTTTTAATACTCAAAGATCCATGTCATGTTCTTTAATGTGTGTGTTATCTTCTTTGCACTGTGTACTTTATAAAAAAAGTTTGATAACCCGAGATGCATCCCTGCCTTTGACTGGAGGCTGTTGACAGGAAAGTTATACCAAAGAAGTCCTGTCCTGCTTTCAGAGTACATCCAGAAGCAGCCTATTTAGCATTCTACCTCGGGCGGGGGGGAGCAAAAGAAAGGGGTAGAGGATCTGCAAGATGCTGGGCCTTCTCTCTGTAAATAGCTAGAAAGATTCACCCAAAATCCTGATCTGATTTATTTTTCAATAGTGTCTCAGGCGGGTATTAAATTTCTTATGTCGCTAAAGCTAACTTTGATCCTCTCCTGTTCCTCCTGCCTCCACCTTCCAAGTACTTGGATTGCAGGTGTGCACCACTACACTCAGGTTTAAAAATATTTTTATGCTACTGATTTTTAATGCATACTAACAGTAGTCACAATAAAATGGAACCCAGTATTTGTGGATGAGTTTTGAGGGAGTCAAAAGTTAACATCAAGATTAATCATTGTGGAAAGTGTGCAGCTGTCTGTATTTTCAAGCTGCACACTACTAGTATCTTTTGTTTCTTTATAGTACTGTCTGTTTTCCTATATCCTTCCAACTATTGTAATCCCACAGTAAAGCGCCAGAATGTCTATTATCATCCCTGGGGGAAAGGACATGACTTTCAAGGATAGTCCAGCCTAGACCAGAATAGAAAAAAAAGAAGCATCATATTTTCCTTCCTGGTCGACTGTAAAGAAATCAGACAGAAGAAAAACAGGTAGTGCTATAAACTTACCTCTTGGAGCCAATATCCAAAGGAGGAGGCATAGCTGGTAGTAGATAGTGGAAGAGTGAGTCACAAGCAAAGCCTTTGCTACATTTGATTTATAATTCAGTGAGATAACATCACAACCATTTGAGATGAAAGCATGGATAGGCAGGAATAACAAGACAGTTAATGTTTCCTCACCACTCACAGTGACCATGGGGCCTGAAAGTGACCAAGAAGGTCCTTCTTATTCTAAGGGAGTAGATGTGATCTTCATAGAGTTTGTCAAAGGGAGAAGCCAAACCTGAAGTTCCCCATGAGAGGAAGGCAAATTCAGCTTTGGAAAAAGTCCAACCAGTCCCTCACTGTCCCCAGTCAAGGTTTCCCTCTAATGTCATAAGGTGACACATGCTCTTATACATCCAAGTGACATTGTGGAATAACAGGTAAAAAATTTTAAATACAGACTAGCACAGAGAAACCTGTTAGTGCTTACATTATTAAATAGCAGTGACTTTACCAGATAGATTAAAATTAAGGTTTTTGTTTCCCTGCAACCAAGTGGAATAGAAGTAGAGGTTTTTAAGGCATGAAACACCGTGCATTTTTATTCATTTTATTTTTCAGTGAAAATTTTTTATTTATTTTATTTTTCAGTGAAGGAATAGGATATGATATATATTTTCAAAAATGGTAAATGTCTATTTTCAGTGAATGATTCAATATATTATAAGAAAAGAAAATTATGCTCTGTAATACGCTTTACACGATTACATAGAATAATAGTTGCAAATTTTAAAATGCTATAACTAACACTTCAATAATAAACAGCAACTTCAATACAACTGAGTTTTATTATTTATCACAGTCACATAAAATACAGGAGCCTGTGCACAGCTGTTATCAATAATAAATGTGGCTTTGCCTGAAATTCTCAGTCATGTACAGGCCTCTTAGGCATTTGAGTTTTAAATTCTACTGTATTCCTACTGCAAAATGAAGCAGGCACAATAAAATTAAGCCCACTGGCTAAAGGACTAAGAAAATAAGAATACAAAAATCCAAAACAAAGCAGAACTCTTAGGCTGGCTACCAACATTTCCTCTGCATACAAACAAATAATCTCATTTAACACTTCTAATAGTCACAGGCACAGATTAACAGCTACAAGACAAAAATATTTCAGGAGAATTAAACTACACACTATTTTAATGTATTTAATAATTTACCACATTCTATATGTCTTGAAAACATACCACTGAAATGCAAGGTCAAATTAATTAGTATTTTAACTTTTTAACTGACATAAGAAAAGTACAGAACACAACACTGCAATTAACTTCTTACGTGGTTAATAACTACACCTCCAGCAGTTAATTTCAGAGGTATTTTTTTCTGCTTTAGCGATCAATGTCTTCCACTAAAGCCTCAAGATTTTTGCAACAGGCTTTAACTTCCTCAATTGCAGCCATCCAATCATCATAAATAATTTTGTCATAAATTTCATCATTAACTTCTCTAACCACACCCTCCTGCTGAGATTCAAGTGCATCACCTGAGAAAAACAACACTGATCTTGGAATTATGTAAGTACGTAAATTGTGACCAAGTAAAAAATCATCATTTTCATCTCCTCCATTTAAGTTGATTCCATGAGGAGAGAAAAAATTGAAGAATGAATCCTTCGGAAAATCTTCAGTCACAGTTCGGACGGTTCCCCAGATCCGATGCTTCTGTTTCTTCTTGATGGTTCTCAGTGTGACGTTCTTCCCTTCGTTCCAATCTATGTCGCAGCCTGTGGCATATTCAATGGCAGTTCCCCTGTAGGGATGGGGGTCGTAGAATGCTAGCTTTGACTTCAGCACATAAGTCTTTGTCAGCAGCTCATTTTTGAAATATTCATTGGGTTTGAAGTGAAATTCTATTGTGAAACTGAGAGGCTCACCAGGCTCAGAAAGCTTCACTTTAATATCTGTCAGAAGCTTCAGAATTGGCTCGTCATATTTCTTAATCAAAGGAGTGAGTGCCTCAACGTTTTTTAAAACAGTCAGCCAAAAATCCGGAATTCCCTTCGGATCCTCTTCTGTATTATGTTCTCCGGTGGCCTCAGTGTTTTCTTTTTCCTCCTCCTCGTCATCTTCATCATAATCATAGTAACAGTCCTCATAACCATCATCTTCATCCACGTATTCATGCACTATGTCCTCTTCACTACCGTGCGTCTCTTCCTCCTCATCCATTTCCTCCTCGTTAAAGTCCTCAGAATCTGACTTATATTCACATTCCTCTTCTGTGGGTTCATAGACTGCATTGATGATCTGACGTCTTTTCTCCAGTAAGGGCTGGTACATTTCAGCAAACTTTCTTTCAATGTCATGAAATTCCCGCAGGAATTTGGATTCTAAATTGGCCGCTCTGGTTTGAAGCTTTTTGAGGGCTAAGACTCGGTACTTAACTTTAACTGGGAGACTTTCAACAAAGTCCGTATCTAAAAGATAGCCGATAAGTCCTTTCGGACGGTCTGGGTCTGAGTCCTCATCAGTATCTCCGCTTTTCCCCCCATCTTTCTCAGACCCTGCAGCGGCTTCTTCACCTTTTCCCTCTTCTTCCCCAGTCCCACCGGCGGCTTCTTCATCACGTTCCCCGCCATCTCCCGGCTCAGTGGAGGCACCTTCACTGGGGTCCTGACTTTCCCAGGGCCCCTCCGCCATTACCTTACTGTCAACCTCTTCTTGACTGGATTCTGACTGTTCCTTGCGATCTGCTGCCTCGGCCATTTTTTTTTTTTAAGACCGCCCTCGCTTATGGTGGCTATCACCCAGATCAGGGGACCTGACCTCCGCAGAAAAAGACTCACCAAAATACCAGATGCGCGGCGGCGGAGACAGAGGTCGAACAGCAGTGGCGGCTGGGCTACAGGACCGATGCGATGGAAAACAACAGTGGGGATAAAATAGCGGTGCTGAAGCTGTGAGAGTGGAGTTAAAGCCTGAGGGTCTGGGTAGAGATGCTGGGGGGAGTATGGCTGCTGTGATGGGTCGTGAAGAAGCAAGCAGAGACTGCAGAACTCCGCAGTGTGCAGAACTCCGCAAGCAGCTGCTCCAGTCACGCAGGGGAAAAAAACCAGGTGCCGCAGTATGATTATGCAGTTGTCTCTTGGCCTTTTTCCTTTTTTTGAAGTGTCTGTAGCTGCTGCGTCACCCCCCTTCCCTCCCACGACTATGCTCTAATCTCATTTGCCAAGCTGTAGTGATTGACAAATCCTGAGCCAGTAAATTATTAGATGTATCAAGAGTTCAGATACACTGACCTTCCCAGGTTCTCTAATATGGCTGATTCCTCCACCTCCCACTCATCCTCCACCCTACCCTCTGCAAAATTTTGCAGAAATCCAGTATTATTTATTCAATTTTCAAGTGATACTATATTTTATAATTTCAACATGAAATAGTGACTAAAATATCAGGGAATGGAAGAAGGCAAGGCACCCATCCATCCTAAATCTATCCCTTGGATTTTTTTATCTGGGACTCTGGAGAGGAGAGAGGTGGGTGATGAAGGAACTCACAAAGTCACCCTTAAGGTTTAAAAATACTGAAATGATCATATGAAGACTTTGGATAACGTGACTGTCAGTGTTTTAATAGTCTGTATTTTGTTTACTGCATTTTTCACAACCTTTATGATGTTAAATTTGAACATTATCCTAACATTTCCTGATGAAGCAGGAGGAAGAGGGGAGAGACAGATGAAGGTGAAAAGCCTATGTAGAAGAGCCAACTTCCTGACTAGTGAGCATACAGGACAATAACACCAGTCCTAAACTGGCTGTCCATACCCCCTTTCTTGATGTTGCTTTACCTTGTAATCAAGTTCAAGACTGACCTCCACATGTGTTAGTTTTAGGCTGGCTTGAGCTACATGAGACCCTGTCTCAGAAAACAACAACAAAAAATACCATTAGTAATTTTCAAAAGAAAAGCCAAATGTTCAGTGCTGTTAACTTTTTAAAATCACATTTGCTTGACATTTTGAAGTTTATTGGAAATAGTATATATCTCAGTAATAAGATGTGGTTAAATATATGTTAGAATACCCATGATAGACTACTATGCAGTAATTTCAAATTTCCTCTAGGTAGGAATAAAGAATGGTGTTTATTTTTGCCAATTTTAAACAGCTTTATTTAAGACAGTGCATTTTACACTTACAATACAATGCTTATAAAGCACAATGTCATTCCCTTTCCTTGTGCACGTGTTCCATATTTAAGCACTGAGAATGCCCAATTATTTATTTATGACCTCCATGGAATTTGTTAAATTTGGGTCCTTCAAGTATTTTATGGTGGAGCAATGCTGCATCTCTACTTAGACTGACTTAATCAACCTCTTTGATTATGAACTTTGAAGAAACACCACCAGCAGAAGAGCTTCCCTACCAGTGCTGGCATGCCACCAGCACTCTAGAACAACTTGTTAATGATGGAATTGGAGACTTTCTCCAGTTCTTTCTGCTGGTATTCGTTCACATTCTTCCTTCTCAGCAGTCTAATTCTTAGCCAGCCAATTGATTATTTCATTGCACTTGTCAGGAATCTTCAATTGGTCTTCATCATTGACCTTGCCTTGAAGTTTCTCATTTTAAAATGTTGCTCGTATGTTGAATGCATAGGACTGTGGTGAATTCGTGAATGATACTTTGTCTCTCTGCTTCTCATCTTCAGCTTTGTACTTCTCAGCTTCCAGGATCATGCACTCAATATCCTTGTTCAACTGGTCATTGTCATTGGTGCTGGCAATCTTGTTTTCTTTTCCTTTACTCTTATCTACAACAGAAGCATTGAGGGTGCCATTGGCATTGACACAAAATATGACCTTAATCTGATAAACACCATAGAGTAAAAGAGGTATGCCTGTGAGTCCAAAGTTCCCAAGCAGGTTGTTATCCTTGGTTGTGGCTCTTAGTGGTGAAGGTCTGTATCTGCTTTCTAGGAATAGTGGCATTGTGCTTAATGAGGACAGTCATGTCTCCACCAGAAATTTCAATGCCAAAGGAAAGATGAGTGACATCCAAGAGCAACAAATTTTGGACATTTCAGACTTGTTTCCAGGTAGAATGGCTATCTGGACAGATGCTTCATAAGCAACAGCTTCATCAGGGTTAATGCTCTTATTCAATTATTTTCCACTGAAAAAGGCTTGCTGGAGAATCTTGAGTGTAGAGGTATAACCACCGTCAGGGACAATATCATGAATATGTGACTAGTTTGGCATCTGAAAGCATTTTTACAGGGTCCAGAGTGCTGTGGAATAGGCGAACATTCAACTCTTCAAATCCAGCACAGATAATGGAGGTAGAGAAGTCAATTTTCTCATAGAGGAAATTAATTTCAATATTGGTCACGGTATTCGAGGAGACGATAGGCTTGGTTTATTTACCTGCAGTTCGGAGACAACAGATAGCTCTCTTCTCATAGATGTTCTTCTTAATGCTTTCATTTAAACTCAGCATCTCCAGCTGTAGATATGACTTCAAAGATTCCATCCTTAATAGTAAGGATTGACAGAAGTGTCACCTCCCAAATAAAAAATCAGCACATTTCATCCCACTCTGACCTTCTTCCCTAAGCCATAAGCAGTAGAACACTGAGACCAGCAATGGCTCCAGCATTTTTGGTAGCATGCTGCTGAGAGTCATTAGAGTAAGCTACTACTGTGATCACAGCACTGGTAACAGTTTTCCCAAGGCAGGCTTCTGCAGTTTCTTTCATCTTCAGTAGAACCATAGAGGAAACCTCTTCTGAGTAGAAGCTTTTGTCTCTTTTTATTCTTCTTAGACCTTGAGCCTGCCTGCATCATTCACCACCATGAAGGGTCAATGTCTCACATCAGACTGAGTAACAGCATCATCAAACCTATGGCCTGATTAGAGATTTGGCCTCAAAACCTGTTCATGGGGTTCATCACAACCTGATTCTTTGCAGCATCACTAACAAATCACTCTGTATCAATAAAGGTGACATAAATTCCCTGGTCACTGGCAATTATTTCCACTTTTCCATGAGAAAAGACATCTACACAAGAGTAGGTGGAGGCAAGATCAGTGCCAACTGAAGGTCCCTTTGACATAGTTGCTTGCGTGCAGGCCTGACTGCTGGTGAAGATACAACACAATCCCTCAGAGCTGCCACCACATTCAATGAGAGTGGTGATGTTTATCGTGCTCATATATCCTATGATGATCATTTGTCAATTGAACAGTTTTAACCTTTTAAGTGTCTATTTTCCAAAGCTGAACAGTGAGTGTAATATTACAATTACAGAGGTAAAAATTGTTTACATAATTATATATGTAGTTGTATATATACACATCTAGATTCTGTCAGTTTGTAGGCATATTTTAAGCTTATTGTATTTCTATGTACCGCATATAATTATATAGTAATTAAATTTTCAGGCTCATTTCTCAGTCTGGTATTCCCATAGTTATGATTCCCATCCATTCAAAGTTTTCCTTCTCTGGTGCTGGTTGCAACATTTCCTGTAATTTTCTGACAATAAATGCTATAAATGTTAATTTTAGAAAAATTGAGAAATGATAACATTTTATGACACAGTGGAAATCATTTGTAATCTCCAACCCTTGGAACATCAAAAAGAACATTTTGATCTTTTTCTTTCTAATTTGTTTATGTGTACACTTGTGTTTACCCTGAAGGTTTTTTAAAAATAAAACTGCATATATTAGTTTATGAAATTTTTCTTATTAGCATCTTTCTGTGTCTTTGTAGACTCTCCAAGAATGTGATTTAAAATAAAATTAATTATTATTTAACCATATTATGTAGCTAAACTAAAGTACTATTAAATATAAACTATCTTCATTTACTGTCAAGACTGAAGAGTCTCACACAGTCATGCAGAAGCCACAAAGAAAATGTGTTTCATTACATTGAACAAAAAAGACAATACACCACATGCAAAGGACTTTAGATGTTTCTCTAAAGAAAACAAGTGGCCAATAAAGTAATGAAAAGATGGCCAGGGGCCAGAGAGATGGCTCAGTGAATAATGTCACTTTGTACACATGCCTGGCAAACTGAATTTGATCCCTCAACCATATAAAGGTAGAAGGAGAGATTTACTCCATCAAGTTGTCCTCTGGTCTCCACATATATGCCTTGGCACTCACACCTCATACATGCACAATAATAATAAAATATTTTTAAAAGGTGATCAATATCATTAATTGTGATAGTACAAATTTGAACCACAAACATATACTATTTTATACTTACTAGGAGAGCTAAATATTTTAGGAAATAGTGTTGATGAGAGTGAGGAGAGTGGAAATCAGTATGGAAAGTCCACAAAACATTAAGCATATGATTACCCTATATGCTAGATAGCTTCGGTTGCCAGCTTGACACACCTGGGTACAGGGAAACTCAGTTGAGGAATTTGGCCTACGGCCATGTCTGTGAGGCATTTTCTTGATTATTGAGTGATGTGAGAGGGCCCAACCTACTGTGGGTGATACCACCACTGGTCAGGTAGTCCTGTGTAAGAAAGTAGGCTGGACACATGCCAGGGAGCAAGTGAGTAAGCAGAAGTCCCCAGTGGCCTATACTTTGGTTCCTTCCCTGTCTTCCCTCTATGCTGACCTGTAAGCTTTCCTCCCGATGTTGGTTTTGGTCAGTGTTTTATCATAGCATCAGAAACCTAACTAAGATACCATATGATCCACTAATTTCATTTCTGGATATTATTGAAAAAGTTGAAAGCGGGGCTGGAGAGATGGCTCAGGGGTTAGGAACACTGGTTGTTCTTGCAGAAGACCCGGTTCGAATCCCAGTACCCACATGGCAGCTAACAACTGTCTGTAACTCCAGTTTCAGGGGATCTGACAGCCTCTTCTGTCCTCCACAGGCATTGCCCGACACGGGTGCACTTAACTACATGCAAGCAATACATACATGCACATAAAATAAAAATAATAAATGAAATATTAAAAAAGAAAAAGTTGAAATCAGAGTCTTGAATGTTTGCATATCATGTTCATAGCAGCACCATTGACATTAACAAAAAGTTGAAAAAATTTCAAATGTCCACTAATGGAGGAATGGATAAGAATAGTTTGGCAATAATTTCTCCCAGTATTTTGCATATCTTTTAATGCCTCATCAAAATGGTGTTTTTAAAATACTTTTGAATTTT